ATTCATCACTAAGCTGTGATTAAATTAATGTTATTACTTCAGATTTTGCAATACGTAGATGTTTGACGTAATGTCGATTAGATATAATAATCGTTAGCGAGACGCTATCTGTACACTGATGAACTGTCTATTGCAGCTTGTTTATCACGGATTCTATCGTGATTAAAACATTCGCGTGTACATGGTGAACGTTGCAGCCTGCATTCATTGAATTACATATTTTATATGTGTATTTTTTGCACGCGAATCAAATTCTGTGAGTTTTACCGTACGCATCGCGTGATTACGAATCTGAATTTTTCGAAAAATGCGACTAATTAAAAGGACCTCTTCACACTAATTGTATGAAAAATTGGGTCTCGGTGAAATGAGTTAGTTTTCAGATAAAAAGTACATTCCGTTTTCGCTTACAGCGCTTGTAAGCATAATTTGTTCGTGTTTAATATTTGATATACAACAAGAATGAAGCGAAAAAGGAATGTACTCATAATGTTGCTTATAATGTGGTGAACAAAAGATGTCGTCATAGACGCAAGGTTCAATAATGAATAGTTTTGGTGTATCAAGGTAATCTGTGATCATAAGTTTTACACGTCCGAAAAAAGGAGTTTATATTTAAATGGAAGAAATCGTTTCTTTTGTTGATTTTTTAAGTTGAAAATATCTTTGAGGAAAATAAAAATTTGATTTCAAGAAACAATCAGATAAAAAAATTATCTGATTTCAAGAAATGACGTTCAAAGAAATTTTTTATTATTTGCTGTGTATGCAAATGCACAACTTTCTTTGTTTCAAATAAATTTGTTTTGAAGAAACTTTTCTCTGAGTATATCTTTGATATAGCTTACAACTGTCCATTATTGAGTCTTGTTTCTATTGATGTCTTGTTCACTGTAAAGTTACATCATATGAAAATTAACTCATTTCACCGCGATTTTTCATTTGTGTAGATTTTCTAATTTTCCATTTAATTAATGCAAAATTTTTTGAAAAATATCAAATTTATTCTTCTCAACTTGGTGATTTTTGACTTATGCAATTTTTACATCGCATGATCTATCTTAAGTCTTGTTTTGAGAACGTTGACGAGAAACGTCGTCATATTTCGAGTCGGTTCCGAGTGCCGACATGGCACCATGAAAGTACATGTGGTAGATAATGGAAACGTCACTCTGAATATCACAGTGTTATCTCTCGCGCAAATGTTATCTCTCTGCTAATTCCATGTGGCGGATAATGGCATTTTGGCAGTGATAGTGCCGGTGGCATAGACGCGACGGTGGTCAAATGAAACGATTAATATGAAAAAACACGAACGAATGTCGCGCTGATTATCATGGCGATTAAGACAAGATTGCGTGCATCGTATTCCTCCTCTCCACATGTGACGCCATAGAATGTGCGACCGTTTTAATAGGTTTAGATAGGGATACCTATCTAGCCTAATGCGACACTATCAAAGTGACGTCAAGATAGTCATGCGAACGTTCAAATTAATTCCCGCGGCAATTAGTGTGAGCAATACTCAAACCTACCATTATCGTAATTGAAGGGGCAAGTGTCCGAAGGTGATACGACGCGCATATGGTGATATGACGTATATATTTCAATGCATTTGGTATCATTATACTATGATTCCATGTGAGGTAGACTGATTACAATCATCGTCATTGCCCTGGCGACGTCACAATCTTAAGTTTACAACTTAATGCGTCTTATGAGATTAATTCTAACGCTCGACGAAAAAATGGAAAATTGTGGACTATTGCACTTGCGTTTAATATTAAAAATAAAGCAAATATATAGGTACGATAATAGATTCTTTTTGAAAATATGCCACTAAAGATAATCTATCATGCTTTGTTCAAGAATGAAAAAAAAGAACGGGGAGGAAAAATCAGCTTAATTTGCGCTTGTTTCGAATAGAGATTCGTAAAACCAAGTGGTCAGTATAACTGCGTAATGGTCAGTAACCATGATTTATTACCCTGCGTTCTGTTTAAAACCACCTTTATTTATGGAACACGGAAAATACATATCCGTACAAAAATGCATTTTATATAGGGCAAAGACTGTTACAGATTTCAACGATTATTTTTTTTTGTCGAATACCTACTTTATTTGTCAACTGCTTACTTAATTTCTTTAAACGTTTAAGAATTCAGCAGAGCGCGATTGTAGTTTTGTGTGTGTGTGTGTGTGTGTGTGTGTGTGTACATATATCATTTTTAAACAAGGTTATACATTTTTGTACACTTCTATTTTGCTAACGACATCTGCAGTTAAAATGGGCTGCACACGGGCAGTATCTCTCTCATTTTTGCCTCTTCTAAGTAGCGCAGCTTCTAGTAGATTTCTGTAAAATTACATCGTAACAACTTGGCCGGGCAAGAACAAGCGCCACTCTCCTCTTTTAAAAACAGCTTTAATTTTTTGCCGTGCAGAATGGTACTTTACAAAATGGACACTCTGCGCTAACTTTCCCGCGGGATGTTGAAATTTTTCCGAGAGCGAGACGGAGGTAACCACGAGAACTTGTTGCTCATTTTTCCGCCCTCGTTGGACGGTGCAGACGCGAAGTCGATATCACCAATTAACCCAAGACTGTTTACCGTTCATGTCATGGGACGATCTGTATCGAACCGACACGGCGGTTCTATGTAACCGACATGGCAGTATGTAACAGACATGTACATACCTATGGTCAACCCACCAGGTAATGGCAAATGTCACTTGGTCTGCCGCCCGATCGCCGCACAGATTCTCCAACGGAACCGTTATCGTTTGCCGAAGGAAATAATATGTAGTTTGTGTTGATCGACTGGTCTAATAATATGCAAGCATTTCCAAGTATAGCATTTCCAAGTATAGAATGTTTTGTAACAAAGACTTTCAATTATAAGTTCAATTATAAGTTCAATTATAAGAAAATTATAATATGAATATTAAACATCAAGATCTACTTCGACAGAAAATATAATTCTTTATTCTCTTATTGATTAAAACTTTATCTTTGAAAAGGTTTTGAGTGAGAGTTCTCTTTTCTCTCTATTTGATTCAAAAACATCTTGTGTAGTATAGTCTTGTTCGATGTTTTCAGAACTCATGCGGCAACTTTCTGTCTGTACTTATTTCTTACTAAATATTCATTACTTTATTGTTCCGTTATACCGTTGAATATTCATTACTTTGTTGTAGATCCACATTTTGCAAGAGAGAATAGAGTAGTTTAATAATCAAATACTAGACGAATGGTTTTAATATGAAACTTAAACCGTAATTCTCCAGGACTTGATTTCAAGAAAAGCTCTTATATTTTATTTAAATACGCTTTTGTTACTTTACCGTTTTATCATTTTAAGTAGATACAGCAATTTAATTGCAGAATGAATATGAAAGTTGACATCGCATAATTACCGCAACGCATATGTGCTTATCATGATAATACTCTTATATTTACGGTCATTTTAACAGCAATTTTAACCTTGAGGTTATTCCGCCGTCGTTTTGACCCAATTTAATTAAAGTTTCCAACCAAATTTACAATCGTGTCCGTATCGTTGCATAACTTTATTTAAGCATTGCAATTCCGACGGTGGATAACCGAGTTTTGTCAGTTAGAAACGAGCACCAGCGGTGTTTATGATCCAACGAAAAATTGCGAAAGCCACGTTATAAAAATACGTCACTTACGGCATGAAATTTAACGCGATGACACGATGGCGTATCTCTGTAATGTCAGTTGGGATTGTTGGGATTTTATTTTTAACTTGCAGTTGCAAATGATACCTGTTATTGGATCGCACAGGCCGAGATATTTCAACGGAATATAATCCGCTTAATGCGGTTATCTATTCATCTATCCGTTGGTTGATTCGCTTATCGTATCACTCCTGAAACCATTAATACAGATATGCGTATAGTTTGCGTGTAACAAATTGAAACATGTTATTGTTATATTTTCTATTCTGTTGAGAGCGATCATCAATTGGATAGTATTGTAATATTAATTTCAGTTTTTCCAAATAATTGCTAAAATTGCATTATTTGCCTATCACATTTAAAACATTTACAAACAAATGAATAATATAAAAGTCTTTCATATAATTTATTTATTACGCTCTTAATCTTGTTATATATATATATATATATATATATGCCAAAAATTGATACACATTGAAAAAAACTCTAATGTAAATTACGAAGATTATAAGTACCACTAAATATGAGAGGAAAAATGGTCGAAATGGTGGAAATCTTGAAATCAGAAGTTATCCATTGTTTTCTCCAAGGAGAAAAAATTTATCACCCGATTCAGATCTCATCTATATGATCGTACTGGAACTGATTATATTCCATGTGACTCTGTTGTCGATTGTTTGTTAACATAATCGAAATGCTGGTGGTATATTTATAACGCACATCGTGGTACGAGAAGTCTTCTATCTCCAAAAGAAAGTACCGCGAGTTTAATTAGAGTGACACCTGCAATTATATTCATTACCTCATGAATTTCCTATTAATACTCCTTATTATTAGTGTGTCCTTCTTATTAGTGTGTAGTTCGAAACGTATTCATTTAGAAATTTGTATCTCGAATTTATAAGTACTACATGCTCAAAGTTATACAAAGTTAAGAGTGTAGTACAATAAAAAAATAAAAATATATTGCCGATTTTTCATCTTTCTACAATAACTTGAATTAAAAATACAAAGCATTTCAGCAATAGGAATTGAAAATTGGTTTTAGAAAATTAACACTCGACTCTATAATACTCATAGGCAAATATCTTGAGTGAGAGATCCGCGTGAAAGCCACAAATGCGCAATTAATTAAGCGCGTTCCAATGCGCGCGTTGAGCATGACGCGAGATTAATTCGTCTAATCGCAAGTCTGATAGCCGCCGAGTCGAAGTCGAGCATTACTCTTCTCTCGATTCGTCTCTCGATTGGCCCAGGGGGCTCAATCAATAATCACCGTTCTCCTCTTCTGCTTGCAGGTTGCCCAGGAAGCGAACGACTCTGCTGGTGATTTGTCTTTTGGCCACTTGTACGGGTAAGTCTAGCCCTTTGTGAGCCTATATGGCCTACAACATGTTTTTTCTTTTCGCTGAATTTATTCAGTCGCACGTCGTGCATTGCGATATGTAGATCGTATTACGAGAAATGACGATATTTCGCGTTCTCTTCGAAGCACGTGCATGACGCTTCATAACCGCGTCAGAATCTTCCTCTCGTCACTGAGGAGAATTTTATTTGATTCCTCTTAGGCCGTTTCAGAAGACTCGTAGACCGTTAGGAACGCAGGAGTTATATCCTTCCGTCGCTTTACTGCTCGCGCACGTTTGAATTCTAAAAGCGAAATGTGACCACCGAAAGTAGGATAAGGTTTTGCGGGAAACTCGGTAGAATATAGCGGTATTTTTAGAAATATATCCAAGGAAGAAAGAGTTACTTTTATGAATAAATATTTTTTATGATTTTTTATGTACGTACATTGTTAGATATCGAAGGACCAATGGCAACTCAATCCTTTGAGTTAAATAACATTTTATTATTTTTAATTTTCATATATGTCAAAATATAAATCAATTTATTTCTATTTATTGTGGTCAGTTTCAAAATAAGCAACGTGTATGCATTTTTTTAAGAAAATAAACTAAATTTGAATCTCTCTCTCTCTCTCTCTCTCTCTCTCTCTCTCTCTTAAATTTAATACATTTTTTTAGTTGAATTGTTTAACTCCATGATTTTAATTGAATTAATGATACATTGAATAGGAGTAGTGGTGACCTATGTAAATAATAAAAATTGAGTATAATTTGACATTATGAATTTTAGTACAGTCATCTTATCTAGCGACATTTATCGCTTTCAATTCTTTTCGATCGGAATAGAATGTAGAATAATAAAAAGAATTAGAAAATATTATCTACAATTTTTGTCATATTTATATATGCATGTTTGTACGAGACAAATTATGTACTATACGTAAAATACATTATATATTAAATCACATTGCTAGAGTTGCACTCGAGCCAAGGGATGACTGTTTAAATATCTCGTTGTCGTGAACGAGACCGAAGTACCGGCTACCTTAGTGATACGAGATGGTATGAGAGAATGGTTAGGTGGTGCACGGGGGTGTGCAAGAATGGAGGAAAGGCGTTTCCTCCTTCCGGCGAGGAACAGGAAGCTTCTAGCGAGCTGCCTCTTCGCTCTACCTTCGTCTCTCTCTTTCTTTTTCTCTCTTTCTCTCGTTCTCCCTCTCGTTCTCCCTTTCTTTTTCTCTCGTTTCCATCTACCTTCACCTTTTTCCCCTGTCGTACCACCTCAACTCCCCTCATCTTCGTATCTCAACGAAGTCGAGAAATGGTTTCTCTTGGAGAAAGCGGGCGAAGCTTTTCGTTCTAACGTTTCTTCATCTTCTAACATTATTCCTCTCTTTCTCCAACTTACAAAAATATATATATATATATATATATATAT